AGCTTCCAGAAGGGGAGGGCGGAGGCGTGAATGTCGTAGCGGTTGGTGGGGAATCCGGCGGAGACGTAGGCGAGGAGTTGGACGTATGCCGGGTCTTGAGCGGCGGCGATGCAAAGCTCCTGGAGGGTCCTATCGTCTTCGATGGAGGGCGTCGTCGTCGTCTTGTCAGCAAGAGAAGTGGCTGTGTGTGTCACTAAAGACCGAACGTGAGCTGCGGCTGTGGTACAGTCGACTTCATCTTCAGGTGTGGGGCGACTAACAGGGGCTCGGGAGAGGGCGTCTGGTATGCACAGAAGCTTCCCGGCGCGCCACGCAGCTGTAAAGACGTAAGGGGCGGTCTTCTCTTTGAGACGTTGGAGGCGAGGATTTTCGATGGCGTCCAATTTGTAGTGATTGAGGATGGGTATGAGCGGGCGATGGTCCGTCATGAGGGTGAAATGCCCAAGGCCGGACAGGTAAAGGCGGCACTTGGCCATAGCCCAGGCGACTGCCAGCATCTCTAGTTCGATGGTGGCGTATCTGGTCTCCGTGTCCGTCAGAAACCTGGAGCCACACTGAACTAAGCGCAGTCTACCCTGGCCGTGATCTTGAAGGAGGGCATATCCGAGGCCGTATAGACGGGAGGCGTCGGTCTGGAGGACCACTGGTAAGGACGGGTCGAAGGGTGCCAAGGCTGGTGGTGACAGCAACGCCTTCTTAACATTCCTGAACGCTAGGTCGTGGTCAGGAGTCCAGAGGAAAGAGCGCTTGGGGCTCATGAGGGGGCGTAGAGGTTGGGCTGATGTGGCGATTTTAGGGGAGAAGTCGGCCAGCTGATTTGCCAGGCCCATAAATGAGCGAAGGTCGGTCAGGTTCGCTGGAGTAGGGAAGTCCCTGATGGCCTTGACCTTCTCCTCATCAGCTGAGATCCCCTCTGGCGAGATGTTGTAGCCGCAGTAGTTAACTTGGGAGGCGGCGACCACAAATTTATCTTTGTTCAGGGTGATACCATGGGCACGACATCTTGTGAGCATCAGATGAACTCGGTTCAAGTGGGCCGGGAGATCATCGTCGAAGAGCAGGATGTCATCTACGACCTTCACGCAGTTGGTGACACCCTGCAGAGCCATATCCCCACGGAGGCAGTACGCATCCCCCGTTGCTGCGAAGCCCATGGGTCCGCGGCAGTGTTGGAAGCGGCCGTGGGGCGTGATGAATGTAGTGAGGTGGCGATCTTCTTCCGCCAGGTCGACTTGCCAGTACCCATGTAGTGCATCCGCCGTGGTAAAGAACTTTGCAGACGGGGTGACGCTGCGGACTGCTTGGATGGGCGTAGGCGATGGATGGGCGGGACGGGAGACCTGCGAGTTGAGATGGGTGAGGTCCACTGTGATGCGAACACCTACAGGCTTGGGTGCCAAGACCATAGGGTGGCACCACTCGGAGGGCTCCTCACCGGCGTGTCTGATGATCCCCTGCTGCACCAGAGAATCGAGCTCCGCCTTCACCTTGTCCCGTATGGCAAAGGGGATAGGCCTGGGTGTGTGGATGGCGAAAGGCGTCGCGCCAGGCTTGAGGTGGATTCTCATCGGGGGGCCTGTCATCTTCTTGAGCGGCGTCTTCTGGAGGTCGGACTTGGAGACAAGGACGTCGCTGAACTGACGAAGAAAGAACTCCCGGGCGGCAGCAGGTGTGGTCATGGCTGAAACAGGTATCTCTGCACACCTGTTGAGGTGTGTCACGGCGAGGATGGGCTTTGGGAACTCGGATGAGACGATGGCCAAGTCCTGACAATGGCCACATGACAAGAGAGGGGTTTGGATGCCCTCATGGACGTGGACTGTGGCAAGGCAAGACTTGGGACCGAGCTGTAGTGTTGCCTTGAAGCAACCCAAAGGTGGAGACATCGGGGACCCGTCCGCTGTGAGCACGTCGTTCATGGCTGTGGGTGACAGGCTACTCCTGGGAATGTTGAGGGCGTCCAGGTGTGTTGGTCCAATCACCGTGATGTCCGCGCCCGTGTCAGGTATCATCAGGAGGTTGGAAGAGTTGGTACCGTAGGACAGACGAACATTGACGGGCTTGGGGGACCTGTCACTCGAGGCATCATCCACGCGTCGGCATCCTTTGTTGTTCTTGGGAGACGGTGGTGTGGACGTTCTGTCGGGCTGTAAAGAGACGTTTTGACCTGGAGATGGAGGCTTCTTGGTGGACCTGCAACACTTGGCGAAGTGTCCTTGCTTGTTGCAAGCGTTGCATGAGACCTTGTTGGCAGGACATCGAGTTGTGCGGGGCCAATGGCCTTGAAACCCACAGTTTCGACATGTACTATCAGCCGCAGGGCACTTTCCTGGACCATGCTGGCGCTGACAGTTTCTGCAGGATTCGGGAGAAGAAACTGGTGACTGTGACGGGGGCTGTGGAGAGGACGCCGTCTGCATCTGGCGTTGATTCCTCTTGTAGGTGGAGACGGCGTGGACTTGAGATGGCGATGAGTGTATAGCTGAGGCAGCCTCTCTTGTGGCCTCATACGACCTGCAACAGGTGACGAAGTCGGTGAGGGAAGAGGCGGCGTCGAGGGTGAGGAGTTTCTGAAGCAGGTCCTCGTCACGTACACCCATCAGCAAGATCATCTTGAGCTGGATCTCAGCACAGGTTACAGGATCGCCTGTACATAGGTCCACCTCGGCTGCTAGGTCCTTAAGTCGTGCATAGAAGTCTGAGAATGATTCCCCAGAAGCTTGTTTGCAGGATAGCAGTTCCCTACGACGCAAAGCTTCATTGCATAGGCCACGGAAATGAATCTGCAAGGCGTTTAAAACCTCTGTCACTGACCTGGGGGAGTCAGGGGGGATGGCTAGCGTGTGCTCTAGGAGGCGTTGAACATCGAGGGAAATGCACGATCTTAATTGGATGAGTTGTTTATGAGGGGGCATTCGGTGGAGGTCAGACATAACAGCAAACTCTTCGAAACGACGTCGCCATTGACGGTATACTTGATATGTTGCATCAGATTGAAGAGGTGGGGGACTGGGAACTGAAGACTTGCTGTGCAGGGGTGTACTCGAGACGGCAGGCGGTGGAGGAGGCACGGAGAGGTCGACGAGAGTTGAGACTGGAGCAGGTGGTTGAGAAGGCACTGAGGTATACCCAAGGGGGATAGGTGACGTGTGAGGAGGCGTTGTCTGAAGGATAGATGATGAGGCTGAAGCTGGCGAATTGGTTGTGGCAGCTGGTGAAGTCGTCCTCGTTGCCAGCACTTCCAATAGTCCCAGGAGTTTGTGGTTATCAGCTTGGTGTTGTTGTTGAAGTTGAAGGCGGTAAGCTGATGCCTCTGACTGTCTTGACAATTCCTCTTGACGTCTTGACCATTCCTCTTGACGTCGTTTTTCCTCCTCTAATTGACGTCTTTGGGCTTCCTTCTCTTGGGAAACTTGTAGGAAGTGGATTAACTGACGTATATCCTGGCTCCAATCCTTTGAATTTGGCGCGCCCGGCGTGTGAGGCGTGAGGGGGGGTGGGAGGGTCTGTGAGGCTTCGTCTACCTCATAATCCTCATCTAAATTTCCCGGCAAATCGTCGTGGTCAGACATCTCGTGTTTGGTATGGTTGCGATGGGAAAGACAAGGAGAATAAGGTGAAGTGCTATGTTTTCGTCAATGTACTTGCCTAAGTGCAGGAACTGGCGGGCAAGTAAAAGAGTACTGACTGTAATATTTGTGAAGTGAGAGGAGGCGGCTGGCGGCTGGCGGCGGTGGTGCTGGTCCCTGTATTCCTCCGCGCGCGGGCGAGCTGGCGGTGCTGGCTCAGTCGAAGGGGGACGCAGGCAGTGGCCTGCGGGCCGGCGCAGATGGAGGATGTATGCCGGAAGTGCTGTCTTGGAAACTGGGCTGAAAGCGTTTCTGCTACCTGTAGGGCCGCAGAAACATAGCAAAGAGACATGAAAGGCACTGCACTTCACTTAGGGCACTTCACAAGGTCACAAAGCACTTTAAATCCAGGGGCACTGTGGAGTATATCTTCTGGGCGGGAAACAGAGGAGGCCGGGAAACAGACGAGGCCGGCTCTTGCAACTTGTCAACTGTCGTGTTAGAGCTACTCAACTGCGCCATGTGGTGTGATGAAATCCTAGACAAGGTTCTTCAAACTCCAATAGCACGAGCAGTAGATATATTCAATAAGTGTACAAGACTTGGCAGGATAACCAACCGGTACAGGAACAGGAGCCAGCACAAGGAACTCCTCGTCGTAGGCAGGCCGAAGCCGATCTGAGGGAAGTTAGCTGGCTAGGCAAGGGAAGTTGCTAGACATTACTAGGACAATAAATGGGGTCTTCTAATTACTCGACTAGCGGAATACAGACATAGTATATCGGGACATAGTAAGTGAACATAGGCATTAGACATAAGCATAGATATCAGACATGCTATAATAATATGTAGTAATACAGACATGTGAATAAATGGTACAATGAATGGTAACAGAGTCCTGCCGTCAGGCGTGTTCACGTATCTTGGTACCCACACATCTATACACCTACTACCTACTACCTAAAACCTAAAACCTAAGAATCTTCCAGAGAATTAGACTACAAATATTGGTATATGTGCCTTTCACAAAAATGTGACCCTAACCTTTGATCATTGGACTCAAAAATATATCAGTAAAATATTTATTTTGCAGCTCTTTCTGTTCGTGAATTATTTATTTAACTATGCTGTATATAGCTAAACATCCTCATTTCTCAAAAATGAATATTCTTGAGCTTGAATAGCCATTGTTTAGTACTGATACTGTCTTATAAACACGCAGTGAAATAAAAGTAGCTGCCAAATCGTAGACACTTTAAATCGGATCATATAGTTAATTGAATTCGTTCGATTCTTGGACACAAAGTGTTTGTATTTTCTTAAAATCCCTCGAACTCGGAAGTAATATGAGTCTCTCTATAGTCCCATGAACAGCCCTTTCTATCTTTGGCCTCGGTAGTTTAGAAATCAAATACTTTTAGCAAAGCATACCTTGTCTTCAGGTATCCCACCACGCATGGTTGGGTACTCCCAGTCCAAGTCTATTCCATCGAAGTTGTGTTCCTTCAGGAGTGCTATGGAAGTGTCTATGAAAATCTTCCTCATGGAAGGATCCGCAGCCATCTGTGTAGGTAAGACGACAGTAAGATATTCTTCCAGTTACATTACAATTTCTTATGCAGAGACAGGTAATGGTTTGTAGAATCAGGTGCTTTCTATTTAACTGACCTTAGAGTATTTCTCAGAGCCGTCCTCCCAGCCCCCGACGCCTAGAAGTGTTTTCAACTCAGGGTTTTGCTTCTTAAGGGCAGTGAACCTATTGTAGGCACACTCTCCGCCGTTGTCACAGAGTTCATGATGCGGGTCGAGCACCTGAAAATTAAAGTGTTTTAGTAAACTCCTTTTTTTCGGTAAATAAAAGAAGAGTCAATGACCACCACTGGTGTGTATTACACAATAGATATATGAATAGCCCCCAAAAAATCTTAGTCTAATACAAAATATTGTTACGATCCTCCTTTCACCGCTTACCCAGCCTCCACTACTGGTTACCAGTGGCCAGGGTGATATGTACAGAAGCAGTAGATATCTTACAAGAGTTGTCGAATTACCACCGGCTGTCCCGCCAGTCTCCGGTAATTACCCGACGATCGGTATCAGTGTACAGACAAACAACAGGCAGGTAGATTTCCACCAGGTCACAGAAACACGCTTGTGTAATGTAGTCTTTTTTACTAAAACAGTAATTCTTCACAACACTGTTGACAGGGCAATGTCTTCACAGCTTAACCCCACACTTCGAATATATAGTCAGCACACTACCAGTTAACATTTCCTTAGTCTTTTCACTTTGTATTAATCACAACAATTCCACAATACTCGCAGAGCAATTGTCTTCAGTCGTTCTGCTAGTCTCAGTCTTTTTTCACTCGGAACAGAGGCGGCGGACCAACTAACTCCTAGGGACTTTGAATTGAATTGAAACAGTTTATTTAGCCCCCCAAAAAACACGGATACAGAGTGGATAACAATAACAATATTAACATGGCTGAGCCAGTTGAGAGCCTGAGCTCTCCTGTAGGCAGTTGATATATACTGTACATTTATCTCAAGGAAGTATTTTGTAACATTTAGTATCGTCTGGAATAGTACACACAGCATGGTGGTAATAAGAACATATCATTATGTTACCACAGTTAACACTTCGATATTTATTTATTTTATTTATTTATTTTGTTTAATTTTATTTTTTTTGCTTTTATATTATAAGTCTATACATAAGTTATAGTGGAATTGAAGAGCATAAATATAATGGGGAAAGCAGTACAACATAGTACAACATAGGTTGAACAAGAGGACAGAGCTGTCAGGATTATGTGGCAAATGTATTTATTGCAATTTTAATTTCTTGATTATCTACATGATAATTTTGATAAAACGGTTTTGATGGTACAATAAAAGCAGGTATATATAGTAGGTATTACAAAAAATATTCATACGTAGACAACAGATAATTTTTAAGAGATGATTTAAAGGAAGGGAGCGTAGTCTTTGCTCTGATGGGTGGGGGTAAGTTGTTCCACAACTTCACACCATGATATTTTATGGAGGTCTGGGAATGAGAGGAGCGCGCGGGGGGTGGTCTTAGTAGCTCTTGGTGCCTTAAGTAATATCTCTGATTATTCTGGAACTGGAAATAATTGTTGTCAAGCAAGTGATTGATAGATTTGTAAACAAAGAGGGCACAGCAGTAGGTGGTAATATCCTCGAATTTTAACATTTTCAATTTAGCAAATTGTTCGTTTGTGTGATCTGTTTTAGTTTCAAGTAGGTCATTGTCGGTACAACTCTCTTTTATGCAGTAAACAGGGATTGTGTTTTTGAAGAGCCAGAGGCCCCCCCATAGTATGTGACAGCGTATCAGGTGTTGGGAAACAAGATCATGATAAATGTCTTTCATTGCTGTGAGTGAGTGACTGTCGAGTGTGATACATAATACCGCACTGTTTATTGACTTTACTATGAATGGCTTGTATATGGTTTCTACAGTTAAATTTCTCATCAACAATAACTCCGAGGAAATTTGTATTTTGTTCGCGTTTGAGGACTGTAATACCAAGGTACAGGGGGTCCAAGTCTGGGGTAAATTTTCCTTCTATGAAAGATCGTGTAGTGTTTTTTTTTCGAGGTTTAAGGTCAGTTTATTACGTATTACCCAGATCTTGACTTTAGTCAATTCAGTGTTCATAGTTCTCATCAAGGAATGGAGGTCTGAGTTCATGGCATAGAGATTACTATCGTCTGCAAATAAGTTGTATTTTTTGAGTGAGCTGGCGTGGACTCTATCGTTTATGTACAAGAAAAACAGTACTGGACCGAGAATGGAACCTTTGGGGGTCCCCATACAAGATTGGCGAGGAGTCAGATTGGTGATTATTATAACAGACATACTGCATCCTCTTGGTCAGATATGAGGTAAACCAATTGTGGGATAGGCCCCCTAATGCCGTAATGTTCAAGCTTTGAAAGGAGGATGGTATGGTCGACAGTATCGAAGGCTTTAGAGAGGTCCAAGAATATACCGACTGTGAACTGACTGTCATGAACGGAGTTTAAGATGTCATTAGTAAAGGATAGCAGAGCACTCTCAGTCGACCTTCTAGCTCTAAATCCAAATTGGAAGTCTGTAAAGATGTTATTGGCATTGCAGAAGGAATTTAGTCTACTACATGCTAGCTTCTCCAGTATCTTACTCAAGGCTGGGAGGACTGATATGGGGCGGTAATTCTTGAAAAGGCCTTTGTCCCCAGATTTTTTATATGCAGGGTGAACTTTAGCAATTTTCAGTTTATCAGGAAAGACACTACTAGTGAAGGAGGAGTTACAAATGTATAGGAGAAAAGGTAGTAATTAGTGGGCTACTTTCTTAATGATGCTCATTGGTATATTGTCTTTGCCTGCTGGTACAGCAGTTTGCTGTGTGTTTTGCAGGTAGGCTCTAAATTCCTCATGGTGATCAGGGATGCACTCTGCAAGATTTTTGCCAACATTAATAAAATATTCATTGAAGTGGTTGGCAATGAGGGAGGGTTCCGTTACGCCCGAATCATTTATCATATAAGCTGAGTGGGGGGCCGAAGGCTGAGTGTTCCTGTTCTGAATAGAATTTATGACATTCCAGGTTTTCTTACTTTCGCCTGATGCTGACTGGAGCTTATTTGCATAATAGCTACGTCTGGCATTTCTAACTGCTTGATTTACTCTATTTATGATACTTCGGTAAGCATCACCGAAAGTTATGGATTTTTTTGCAAATTTCCTTTGGATTTTGTATTTTTCTTTTATCATTATCTTAATTTCACTTGTGATATAGGGTTGGAAAATGGATGGAGCCCGTGCCTGCTTATGTACGAGGCGTCAGATGCTTGTCGAACATCCTAGAATATCCCAGAGATGCCTGTGAGATTCTACATGTACAACGTTCTACTCTGACAGAAGCTTACAATCATATCAAAAATGATGCAATACAATCTAGAGTATTCTTACATAATTAATACTTCAACATCATCAAAATATACACGAAAATTTCACTAAATTTGCCAAAATGACTGTTGCTGATAACAATCAAAATACCTATTTAACAAAAGTATAATTCGGAATTATGCCTCGGTATAACAGCAGGTAAAAGTTGTAATTTAATATATATATTTTACAACGACTATTACCCCATAGGTTACCTATCTTTACTCACGTTTATCTCTCCTGTAGTAGTGATACCAGCAAAGGCAAAAATAAGGTGAGTGCAGATGTTGGGATCAACGTCTTCTACATCGAACATACCGGGCCCTTGGCGATACACAGCCCAAGACGCCATGTAGCACACCATCACGCTCTCTGGGCACAAAATAGGAAGTCAATAGCGGTCTGTGGCTGTAAATGTTGCAACATGAATCCTGTGTGAGTTGTGCCCTGCAACACGGTCATCTAAATGTGGTTTACGAGTTGTATGGTCACGATTACACCTCAACACAACACACTCAGTGGGCCGGTCACTACTCATACACCATAACTTTAAACACACTACATTCCATCTCCAAATATTGTATCTTTATCACTATACGTTGTTATTGATACACCTTTCTATGGATGATAAAATATCGCATAAAATTGATTCAAATATTGCTTAAGTCTGTTAGTTTTGGGGAAAATCTTGACAGACTGGATCAAAGAACTAAACATGGTAGTCAAAAGAAAAAGCATCTTTTCCATCCATCCATGTCCACAGGAGTTCTCCCTTCTCTTTAGTCTTCTAAATGTTGTAAGATACGTAGTTTTAGCTATCTCCCAACTCTTTTTTTTCTTGTCTCTCCTGGATTCACTTACATTGTTTTTTTTCATCTTGTTTTCTCTCTCTCTCTCTCTCTCTCTCTCTCTCTCTCTCAAGGTATCCAAGTCATCTCATTGTAGATTCTTCGATCAGGTTTACACCCTCATTTTGACGTTTCTTATTCTTTCTCTTCTCTCTTTTCTCCAGTCTCCGAACACAGTGGATAAAGTATATTGTTTTTGCCAGGAGTGTAGATTCAAACCAATACATTAATAATGGAATCAACACTGCCTCACATATTATATATTTCGTCTTTCTTGTCACATATAGACCTTTGGTTATTGTTATATCTTTTTTTTTATATCTTAGTTTACTTAATGGCCACCGAAACTAGAGGTGGTAATGTCGAGGGAAGAAGGCCAGTTACCTGTGTAGGATAACTCTCTCACTCTCTTTTTTATTACCTCTGTCATGGGAATGTGCTTATTATATATATATATATATATATATATATATATATATATATATATATATATATATATATATATATATATATATATATATATATATATATATATATATATATATATATATATACTTCGCTGTACCGTTGTAGTGGAATTTACATACACAGTTAATGAACTATTGATGTAAGAAGAAGTTTTGGGGACTGCACAGTAGTTGCAAACAGGGAGTTGCTCAGAGGGACAGACAGTTGAAGTTCTGGTGAATTTTCTTGAAGAAAATGAGCCTCACCTGGTGCCTGATCACGCAAATGCTTATGAACAGATCTTGCAAGCGATACAAGCGGAGCAGTGAGGTATGATCTTTCTCGATGCACCTGGCGGGACAGGAAAAACATTCCTGATCAACCTTCAGTTGGCCAAAGTACGTCATCAGGGGAAAATTGCTCTTGCTGTGGCATCCTCAGGCATTGCTGCAACATTACGAGAAGGTGGACGTACTGCACACTCAACTTTTAAACTGCCTCTCAACCTCGCTCACAATGAGAATCCAGTGTACAACATCAAAAAAAGATCGGAAAAGGCAAAACTCTTAGAAAAATGCAGCCTCATAGTCTGGGATGAATGCACTATTTCTCACAAGGTTTGAAGCATTGGAGAGGACCTTGCATTACAATGGTCATTGCTGGAAACTATCGCCAGACCCTACCTGTCATTCCTCGAAGCACTCCAGCTCATGAACTGAATGCGTGCCTCAAGGCATTATACCTTTGGAGAAGTGTTCAGACACTCACCCTATCCAAAAACATGAGATTACATCTACAAGGTGATCAGAATGCTGGACGGTTTGCAAACCTTCCACTACAGATTGGGAATGGAACTTTCCCTGTTGATTCAGAAGGACAAATAATCATTCCTCAAGGGTGTGGAAATGTTGTAAGGTCCTCAACTGAGCTCACTAGCATGGTCTACCGAAACATTATCCACCAATCCTCTGCAATGGCACAAAAAAGGTGGTGAAGAACATGATGCCATATGCACTGGAAGCTACAATAGTGACAGGAAAACCTAAAGGAGATGACGTTTTTATTCCAAGGATAACTCTCATCACCACTGACCTGCCATTTGAGTTCAAGCGACTTCAGTTCCCGGTTAAAGTGAGCTTTGCCAGGGACAGTCCCTAAAGATGGTTGGGCTAAACCTGGTGTTTCCTTACTTCTCTCATGGACAGTTCTATATTAGATGCTCCAGAGTGGGAACTGGCAAAAATCTGTACATACTTGCTGCTAATGGCAAAACAAAAAATGTGTTCTACCTTAATGCACTAAAGTGAGACAATGTGGAGCCTCCCGGAAGGTGGCGTCCTACCGTGGCCTAGCGAAAGAGCCGCCCGGAGGGCGGCGATTCCGCTAGTATATTTATATATATAAAACAAAGAAGTATGTCTGTGTGTGTGTTTGTGTATATGTGTGTCCGCACGAGAATCTCGGAAACTACTTTACCGATCTGCAGTGATGATGGATGGGGTTATATGTAGTGATGATGGATGGGGTTATATGTAGTGATGATGGATGGTGTTATATGTAGAGATGATGGATGGTGTTATATGTAGAGATGATGAATGGTGTTACATATAAAGATGATGGATGGTGTTATATGTAGTGATGATGGATGGTGTTATATGTAGTGATGATGGATGGTGTTATATGTAGAGATGATGGGTGGTGTTATATGTAGTGATGATGGGTGGTGTTATATATAGTGATGATGGATGATGTTATATGTATTGATGATGGATGGTGTTATATGTAGTGATGATGGATGATGATGTTATATGTAGAGATGATGGGTGGTGTTATATGTAGTGATGATGGGTGGTGTTATATATAGTGATGATGGATGGTGTTATATGTACAGATGATGGATGGTGTTATATGTAGAGATGATGAATGGTGTTACATATAAAGATGATGGATGGTGTTATATGTACTGATGATGAATGTTGTTATATGTAGTGATGGGTGGTGTTATATATAGTGATGATGGATGATGTTATATGTATTGATGATGGATGGTGTTATATGTAGTGATGATGGATGGTGTTATATGTAGAGATGATGGGTGGTGTTATATGTAGTGATGATGGGTGGTGTTATATATAGTGATGATGGATGATGTTATATGTAGAGATGATGGATGGTGTTATATGTAGAGATGATGAATGGTGTTACATATAAAGATGATGGATGGTGTTATATGTAGTGATGATGGATGGTGTTATATGTAGTGATGATGGATGGTGTTATATGTAGAGATGATGGGTGGTGTTATATGTAGTGATGATGGGTGGTGTTATATATAGTGATGATGGATGGTGTTATATGTAGAGATGATGAATGGTGTTACATATAAAGATGATGGATGGTGTTATATGTACTGATGATGAATGTTGTTATATGTAGTGATGGGTGGTGTTATATATAGTGATGATGGATGGTGTTATATATGTAGTGATGATGGGTGGTGTTATGTATAGTGATGATGGATGTTGTTATATGTAGTGATGATTTATATCTATATAAAACAAAGACGTCTGTCTGTTTGTCTGTGTATCTGCACGAGAATCTCGGAAACTGCTTTACCGATCTGTAGTGATGATGGATGGTGTTATGTGTAGTAATAATGGATGGTGTTATATGTAGTGATGATGGATGGTGTTATATGTAGTGATGATGGATATTGTTATATGTAGTGGTGGTGGTGACGGTGGTAGTGACAGTGGTAGTGGTGGTGATGGTGATAGCGGCATGTTTGTGGTGATAGTGGTGGTGGTAAAGACTGTTTGATAGTAGTGGTAATGATGGTGGTGGTAATGATGATTGTGGTAGTAGTGGTGGTAGTGATGATGGTGGTAGTAGTGATGGTAGTGATGGTGGTGCTGTATGTATTGATGATGGATGGTGTTATATGTAGTGATGATAGATGGTGTTATATGTAGTGATGATGGATGGTGTTATATGTAATGATGATGGATGATGTTATATGTAGGGATAATGGGTGGTGTTATATGTAGTGGTGATTGGACAATAAAATAATAACAGTTTAATGCTGAAAAAATATACTTTACTGTGCCGTTTTAGTGAAAAACATGGTCGAACTTACATACACCGTTAATGAACTATTGATGGAAGAAGAAGTTTTGGGGAATGAACAGTGAGAGAATGTGGACTCCACATTGTGGAGCCTCCCGGAGGGTGGCGTCCTACCGTTGCCTAGCGGATGAGCCGCCTGGAGGGCAGTGATTCTGCTAGTGTATATATATATATATATATATATATATATATATATATATATATATATATATATATATATATATATATATATATATATATATATATGCTGATAATCACAAGGAATGAAGAAAACACGAAGTTCCCATGCGCTTTCGTGTAATTCACATCTTCAGGTGGTGAGTACAGACTGTACTCACCCCTGAAGATATGAATTACACGAAAGCGCTTGGGAACTTCGTGTTTCTTCTTTCCTTGTAGTTATCAGCATATACCTAGATCACGCGCACCTACAGTGATTTACTTGCATATATATATATATATATATATATATATATATATATATATATATATATATATATATATATATATATATATATATATATATATATATATATATATATATATATATATATGACTTCAGAAATGGTCTTGTTACGTGAAAACCGTAGTTTCATAACGAAGAGGAGAATCAGGGAAAACACAAACATCTTGACTGAGTTGGGTTTCTTTAATCACTGTAATTTTTTAATACTTTTTTTAAACTTTTTGTTTTCTGGGCTCTGATGATGGAAAATGATTTTCCGAAACGTTAGTGATTAAAGAAACCCAACTTAGTCAAGATGTTCGTGTTTTCCCTGATTCTCCTCTTCGTTATAGGTAAGGGTGTTATCATGTTCATTTGTTTGCAGTGGTACCTGATAGATCATGTGTTTTTAGTTGATTTAGCTTAGACCTTTCAAAGCTGCGTGTCCAGGGTTATGTTACAGTATTTGGGGCCAACCCTCGGTCACCATTGACCAGCGTCAATAATAATTGAC